TACAATAAATTTAAACCTGCACACACAATTGTTGTTTTTGCCATTCATAGAAATATTCATAATCATTTTACGTTATTAAATTAAGTAATCAAATGCATGCTCAGTGGCCAAGAAATGACATTCATGCTCATGGTACCTACCACCCGCTTCGGATGTTATCCATTCAATTTGGCTGATAACCACTGATAATGGCCATTCTATGGGATGATAATATCCGAAGCGGGTGTACCTACATGAACTTCTGAACAGAACTGTAAATCATTTATATATTTTAAAAATTTGTAATATGCAAAAGAATTAACAGTTGAAGAAACTGTGGAACAGTGGAAACAGTGATCAATAATATATCATCATCTAGCTAGGTCAGAAGTTGTGTCGTCAGCATTAAACCTGAAGGCAGGACTTAACATAAATCAATATGACTTCCTTTGAAAGCCTTGATAAAATCTGTGACCTCTGAGTCAAACTGTCTTGTAGAATCATGATAAAGGTGGAAATCTACTCTGAGCAGACTAACATGCTGCTCCTCTGTATTTAAATCAAATATATATAAATGCTTTATGGCTATGGTTCCCAAACTGTGGCACAAAAACCACTGGTGATACTTTGGTAGCGTTTGTAATATTCAGAAGAAATTGTGGGCTCAGCTATTCACCAGCTAAGTGTGACGCAAACTGGTTATACTGTACTACCAATAAGCCAAACAGTGATATTAATACCGTAGTACATGCCTAGTTACCAAAAAAGGGAAGAGCAGCAAACAATATTTTAAGTAATATTATAAGTATGCACTTCTTTGTGTTGGTCAGTCACACTAAATCCCAGCAAAACAATCTGAAGTTTATGGCTACAAGGTTGTAAAATTGTGAAAAGGTGAAGCAGCCATGTGGTGGGGATTTTGCAAAAATATTTGATATCATTAGTCAAAATGGCTGGCCTGGAATTTTCTACAAAATTATACAAACCTACAGCAAAACCATGAAACAGACATCTAGTCTGCAGTTGTTTCACTTGATCACATACATCAACTGGATGTAAGAATTCAAACAGCTGGGATAATAAGAATAATTATAAGAGTAGAAGATTTATAATAGCGTTTTGAAGCTCAATCATCTTTCTGTTGGTTGAGTTTGAGCTTGCTGAGTAAATGCACCAAGCTAAGCTTAAATTAGCCAGATATACTATGTGTAATGAGAAACAACACGTTAACCAGAGGAGAAAAAGTCACATAAGGAATCTTAATAATTTACTTTCTGACACACATCAAGCCTTGTATTGATATTTAACCTATTTCAGTCTAAAATGTACTGATGAACAGCAGTGGGGTCACAGTGGAAATACTGTCAAGGTTAATGATAGACTGCAAGCAGCAGAATGCAACTCGGTGTTGCTTTTATGTGTGTATGTGAGCGAGCTGGACATGCATGCATGGAGTAATGTGCTTATGTAACAGCAGCTTCACTCATTCAGCTCCTTTGCTCATTCGTAACTTATCAGAGGCAGGAGGCAGCTTTTCTCGCTCCCTCTCTGAAACCCAGAGAAATTATTATACAAAATCGACTTTTTGAGATTTGTGTCATGTTATAATGACATGCTCCTCCAGACTAGTTATCTCCTCATCAATAACATACCTGGAGCATTGCCTTGATTCGTTCATGCATGTTTGAAAAATCCTTGAATTTCCCTTGATAGCCATTCAGGAGGGCCCAAATACTCTATTTTCACAGAGTCCTTGCTTGGAGATTCAATCTCCAAGATGAGTTTCCCACGCACAGAACACCTCCCCCCATGTCAGCTTCTCCACTCAGCTCCTCCAGACTAGCCAGCAACAATTAGCAAACACCTGGCAGAACTGCAAGTCTGCTGAGCTCATTACACAAACTGCTTCTGAGTCCAACGCTCCTAAGAACTGTTGTACATGGCAGAATGGAAAAAGTATTGTTGTGATAATGTGCTGTTGGAAAGAATAGGAGCTTCTTAAAGAGACAGATGCCAATTTCAAGACCTCAAACTGTAAATTAAAATTTCTGCTACATTGTGTTTGATATATGCATATTTATATATGCATATTTATCAAAAATATGGTTACTACAAAATAGCACCATGTGTCTGGAACCTACATGAAGCCATCCCTTTAAAGCTTTATTGGAGCAAAAAGAAAAGAAAATTCACTCTTCTCAGTGTTATCCTTAAGTGTTTTTTTTGGGTTTTTTTTTTTTTTGATGCCATGACAACACAATCTCCCTGCTGTCAAAGCTATTATAGCTACAGTAATAGGGGGGCTGTTATTGTCCAAGTCATCTCTTCACCACTTCATTGATGTGCTCTGTATGTTTTAGAGAGCCTACTGTCAGATCCAAAATGATGCAATGAAACTCAGCTGTTTGTTTGGTTGCATTTGGCCCAAAACTTGAACGAATCACCTAAGGGTGACTGCGTCAAGCCTCAGAGATAGAGTAAGGCCACCGGATAGAGTAAAACTAATACACCAACTGCAATGAGGCACACACACATGTGCACCAGGCTAAGGTAGCAGGTGCTGAACCATATTGTGGATAAACTGCTTTGGCCCAAATATCCATTCGTCCATCTAACTGTAATTGTATCAAGGTCCTTGGTGCATTAATTAGGCGCCTAGTTGTGTTCTGTGGTGTACAAGCCATTTTTTGGGTGTTTTTGTCAGAGTTAGCAGCAGAGTCTCATATCAGCCCCACAGCTCCCTTCCCTGTCCACTGAAACAACAAATTGAGTTGAAGTGTTACAAGGTTTGTAGTAGAAAGTGTTCAGGCTGCATTTCCTCAGATGCCAGTATACCATTCCAGGAGAGACTTTCTGAAGTAGGAAAAGAATTTGAAGAGGGAACACCGAAAGTTATCTACATTGGCCCTGAGCCAAATCTAGACGAGCATTTGGCTCAGGCCTGCAAACGGGCCTGGCCCATTACCAGAATGATCTGGATTACAGATCTGGACCAGAGAGGTGATCCACAAGTGTTACGACAATACTGCACTTGACTCTGATGAAATTCTTTTTTCATTCAGATCTGAATGAAAAAAGATCAGAGGTTTTTTGCCGATGCCAGGCAGAATCATGATTCTATGCGAAGACAACCTCTGACTGTCATGAGGATCTGGTGATTTGTAGATGAATTGGGTCCAGCTCTGAATGCTGTCTCAGTAGCCCAGTAGCCCATCAGGATTTGATCTACAGCATTTCCTGAGAGGGTTAACAATTTTTCTCTAGAATTCTCAGAAGCACATGACACGCTTCGGTGGACTTTCCTTTCCACAAAATGCTAAAAACATGAATTAGTAAATAACAGCATTGTCTGACACTTACCACCAACGGGACTCGTGTCCTATTTTATCCATGTTATTTCATCTTTGTGTTTAATTAAATGCTGTTTCGTCTCAGTTTAATGGATTGTGTCTGTGGACTGTACCTCTGCCAAAACCCTCTCAGAGGCTTTCTGACAGCTACTTCAGTCATTAATCAAGTGATTGTGCTCAGCACTGAGGGGCCGTGTGATTTGTTCAGGGTTGTTCAGCCTCCTGGCTCTTGTGCCATCATGGAGCACTGAAGTTATTTTAATGGCATTGGTACGCTTAAAAATGTCATATTGAGATATCACAACTGCTTAAATTGAATTGGTTCAAGTAAAAATATTAATTGTTTTGAGGTTTTAAATAAAAGATCTCTATCCTGGGAGAAGACCTTGTCTGTCATTGTTTGATTTCTGCTGATGAGTGAAAGTTCTAGATTATCCTAAATGTTGCCTTTCATTTTCTGGTATGGTTGCATGCATTGGTTGGTGCTTTAAACAGTCACACCCTGGTGTTGATTTCAAAGAGTCATTGCCTTCTCAGTCAATTTTCATTCTTTGTGTGATTGTAATTCGCTACAGCTGGTTTCAACTGCAGCTGGACCAGACATATTTTTTTTGCTGGCAACTTGTTTTTGTTTACTACAAATGTTACCAAAAACAAAATTCAATTATGAGCACAAGAGCACAGCCCTGTCTGTGAAAGTGTATTTTACCAGCTTTCACATCTACACAATGTGATCATGAAAATTGCACTTTTAGACATAAAATTTGATAATTCCGCCATTACTGATATTTAAAGACTCCCTGGTAACCAAGCCGCTCTTCTTAGCCATTCTGCCTTGTCTTTTCTCCACCTGAACAAAACCAAGACTTTTCTTTTGATCTTTTTTATTCCTTTTCTGAAGCTAATCTTCCTTTTCTCACCTGTCTGAAGTCAGTGGGATGGCTCCCTCCTTCTCATTACCTTTTCCTGAGTCACACTGAAAAATACATGTGCAATATTAGCTCAAGGTGAAATTAGATAACATATTTTAGGATTTTACATATATCAAGATATATTTTCACATTTAAAAAATACAAAATGAGGCTTGTGAGTGACATATTTGCTCAATTGCCAAATTAGAAAGATAATTAAGAATGGCTGGAGTATTTAAACATAATTATCCAAGCAAAAATCTAAATTCTAAGGAAACTAACAATAATACAAATGTATTAATATTATAAAAGTACTACTTTAAAATAGACTGAGTTATTTAAGGGACTTCAGGGTAAAACACATCCTGGTGAACGAGTCTGCAATTTATATTTTCCATTATGTTTTTACTTATGTTAATTAGAAATTGACAAATCAGGCTTTTGCAGGGTGAAAATGATTGTGGGTCTTTGTTGAGTTCCTGGAGAACTCAACAAATGAACTTTGAATCCAAACTTTGAATCCAAAAGAAAATTAAGGAATTACAACAACATTCCCATTTTTGCATAAAAATATGTTCCTCACCATTATTTTGTTTTTATTGCACTCAATAGTTCAATAAAGTATATGGTTTTGGTTGATGCTCTCATAGACTGAAAACAGTGGGAGTTCTTAGTTCTTGTGCATTTAATGAAAAGCATAAATGACAGAAGATTTTAAATGCTAATAATCACTGACTAGAGCTGATAGAAAAAGGGAGAAAGACAATTCTAAGTTATTGATGACTCATTGGTGTATCTGTAAGCTATAATCTATATCTGTGTATAAGTAAACACAGGTATATGAATCCTTGATCATTTTTAAGCTCTGTGTCCTTAAATTCCATTTTATATCATAGTGATTTAAAGTGGTAAATAATTATAGCATCTTCCAGGTACCAATTTGGCACTTGAGTGATTCCCTATAGGAACACTCATTACTAAAACAGTTTTGTGCCAGGTGCAAATCATTAGAAAATCCATCTCTTTTGTGATCCTCCCTCCTATTCCAGACCTATTTATTCGTCCCGACAGTAATCCCCAGACTGCCACTCACCACCTGCTCTCAGCACACATACATCCATGTAAAGCATTATTAAATAGAACTAGAATAAACTTATGTTAAATATGTACACCCTTGATGAAAAGCTACTTTCAGTTACACTTCATTTTGTAATTTTGTGTTCTAGCTGCGTCGTTCTCAAACACATTCGACTTAACATGTTTGTGAAACCCAATTTTTTGTAGAACTTTGAAAACAGTATTTACTTTCAATCATAAAAGTATTCAGATCTTAATGGCACCTCTTGTCCTGGTGCCATGTTGGTGCTAAATAAAAAAAATAACTGTCTTGGTGCAAGAAAGATAGGAACTTATTTCAATAAAGTGAGAGGCAAACTTTTTAACAGTGAATATTTTATTCATGAAGTCAAGCTTCTGACTTTCTTTGCTGTTCTTATGCATGCACCACACTGACTTTATGCAAACCCTCTTTTTCAATTTCTTAAATTCTTCAAGTCTTTAGTCGACTAACATACAAATAATCTATTCAAAATAAATGCTATTCATATTTTTGGTTAATTTAATGCACATGTTTCCATGGCCTACGGTAACCACACAGAAAAACAGAGGATTTAAATAGAAAAAAGATAATAGATGAAAACAGAAACACATCAAGATAACTGTCATGGTCAGACAAAAGTCTTGTTTCTACAAAAGTAGAACAGAAAAAAGTCTTTGTTATATGTCGTCCCATTAGTGTTTGGCCAAAATCAGACGCTGTTTTTGATACTTTAATTTAACTTAAATTTACACAATAATAACAAAATACTAAAGAGGGAAATAATGGCTTTTGCTTCACATCAACAATATGAAAAAAAGCTATGCATAACCAGACCTTGATAAATTATCTCTTAGAAAGCAGAAATGCAGCATTGCATAAATCTTTTCACAGGTCTGATCTCCATCTTTTTAATTCAATAGTGCTGACTCAGCACAGTCATTCTGTTGGTATCAGTTTCAGTTAGTGTTCTCTTTGCTATGAATTGTACTTTAGTCAGCACTGCAAAAAGTCCCACCACCTTGTTCTTAATGAACAAAGACAGACGATGTGTCAAGTTAAGTAAAACAAAGGAAAGAAAGAAATAAAACTTCACCCAAGAAGCATGAAATACTTCTGGCAGCACCTTTCAGAAGTGAGGAAGATAAGCTTAGTTTGAAACAAATTCTCATCAAAACAATAACCATCACAGATAAACCCTGTATTTTACTGCTTGTCTTGTGTGTGTGTGTGTGTGTGTGTGTGTGTGTG